ATTCGAATTCGAGAAATTAGAGAAATTCGTGAAAATCCCCATTATCCACTGGTAAAAAAAAATCGAAATCCGGGGCCGTTTCCGGAAACCGGGCAGCGGATGCAGGCCGCAAAAAACGGGCCGGCGAAAGGCGAGAATAGGCTAGCAGAAATGGTCAATAGCCGGAGGCTGTAGAAGGGGATTAGTATCCCCCGTTTTTATTGTGACCCGCCGCGTGGTCGGTGTTTTATGGCCCAACAAACCCCCGCAAAACACGACAAGCCAATTTCCATATTTCGCCGATTTAGTACGCTGTAGTACGTTAGTGTACTTTTTACGCAACGGAATTTTCAGGTTTCCTCCTGTTCACTAGATTTCTATTTATTAAAATTTCCATGGGACTTAGTACGTTAGTGTCCTTTTTACGCTTCGGTATTTTGAAATTGTATTTTCCGATTCAGTACTCAGTACGTTAGTGTACTTTTTACGCTATTGAGTTTTGGGAGTGAGCCGTGGAGGTCGGAATTTTCGGCTTTTCCTGGCCATGACTTATCCGGCCCAAATCTTTGGGTTGTCAAAAGCGGAGCAAGGCCCTCAGATATCTCCGTACTTTCGGAAAGTTGCGTAGTTTCTCTCTCTCTCTCACTCTCTCTCACTCTATCTCTCCCTCTCTCTCTCTCTCTCGCTCTCGCTCTCGATCTCTCTCTCGCTCTCGCTTTCGCTCTCTTTCTCTCTCTCTCTCTCTCACTCTCTCTCTCTCTCTCTCTCTCTCTCTCTCTCTCTGAAAAACTCAAACACAACTTCGAGTTGTTCATCAGCAGCAATTAACCTGAGCGCCTGCTCATATAAATCACCTGCTAGCCGTGCGGCCAGCTGACGACTAACGGATTTGACCCGATTCGGATCCAACGGGGTTTGTAGGGCCGAATTTATACTTTTTATAGCTCTAAGCCCAGATACCGTTATTTACTTGCGGTGCTTTTCGCTTAACGGGGGGGGGGGGGTGGGAAAGCTAATTTTTGTTTTAGCTATTTGTCCATATAAAATTGTGTAATTTTTGCAGTGTTTTTGCAGTTTTTACTAGCTAAAAAATTCAATCAAATATTAGAAATTTTAAACTACAATAATATTTACCTTTTTTGGTTTTTAAAAAGTCAAACATTTTGAAGATTTTTTATACTTTGTTTTCACCCTTTGGGCTCAAAAATTGTGTAAATTCTGCGAGTTTGCATAGGGTCATACAGGAGCACAGCGAAAAATCTCCCCTCCCCCCCCCGCTAAAGGCTAAGCACCTTTTTCCACGCCCTCCTCCGAAAAGGTGGACACCGAGGTTTAGTAAGGGGAGCATCAGCAGCATCAGAAGCCCCCAGCCGTTTGGCCCTAACCCCCTAGGGGCCCTCCGTCCAGTCAGTCAGTGTGGCCAAGAGAGGGGCCCACCCCGTTGGGGGTGTGTGTCCGATTACGAGGCATTTATCATGGGAGACGCCAACCACCGGGTGAGAAGCTCTAAAAAGGGCCCTTCCCCCCGGGGGGTGGCTGCCGGATTTTTGACATGGCTGACTGACCGGTGCTTAGCTTGCGGAATTTTATGTTGATCTCGCATTTGCTTAGGCGGTAGCTTTGTCCAAGGCTTAGACTAGGCTTGACTTAAGCTTGGCTTCGCCTAAGTTCATTTATGCTTTGGGTTAAGCTTAGGCTTAGGTTAGGCTTGGGTTGGCTTTGGCTTGGCTTGGATTGGATTGGCTTGGGCTTAGGCTTGACCTGGCTTGACTTCCAAGTATGGTTAGACTTACGCTGCGGCTTGGAATTCGGCTTAGGTTTGGCTTAGGATTAAGCTTAGGTTTGGGCTTAGTTTTGGCCTAGGCCTAGGCTTCAGCTGAGGCTTGACTTGGACGTAGGCTTAGGCTTGAGCGGTGGCTTGGGAATCTAAGCATAAATTAGCTTTCCTTAGGATTAAGCTTAGACTAAGGCTAAGCTTCATCTCTACGAGTGACTTATGCGCCGGCCTCGGCGTGACTTAGCTTTGGCTTGGCTTGTGGCTTAAGGCATAGGCTTAAGCTTGGTTCGGCTTGGCTTGTCTTGGCTTATGCTTAGGCTTCGCATTTCCGGCATTTACCTCATAAATAGCGAACTTTTCTCAGCTGCCCCCGGCCGGTTCGTTAGCCATTCCACCTCCGTCCAAATCACGTTATTGGGCCCGGAGCGGAACTCGACGCATATGATCGCCCGGACCATTTTGGACAATCCGTGCAAAAGTCGGATATTTTTTTAGGTAGACCTGAGCGGAGTGTAGCGCAATTTCTAGGAATTTTCGTATCAGAGCGGAATTTAGCGTATTCTAGCGTATTCTATCGGAATTTGAAGTATCCAACGGAGCCCGGGGGGAATTTAGCGTTGTGTGACGGAATTTGCAGCCGAGTTTTTAGACCTTTTCTCCCGAACATCGCCCTTTTTCTTATTTTTGCTTTCCGGCATTACGCTGCCCTTCCTTGCTCCCGCTTCCTCCTCGTCTGCCCCCCTCAAATGCCATTCAGCTGACCCATAGAAATTAGCTTCCGCCCGCCTACCTTGGCACACCTTAGCCTTTGGATGGATTCGTAATTTTGTGTCTTTAGCGTTGAGATAGATAATAATTCTCGCGCTATTTTTTGCTTTTCTCTCTCGCTCTCATTCTCTCTCTCCCTCATTCTCTCCCTCTCTCTCTCTCTCTCTCTCTCTCTCTCTCTCTCTCTCTCTCTCTCGCTCTCTCTCTGTCTCTCGCTTTTCGAAGGCGGCGGACCCAGGATGTGGCTTCGTATCGGGCTTGGCCTAGCTTCGGCTTTGGGCTTTGTTTCTCTCTCTCTCTCTCTCTCTCTCTCTCTCTCTCTCTCTCTCTCTTTCTCTCTAACTCTATCTATTTCTCTCTCTCTCTCCCCCGCGCGGAACAAATAACAACAGTGAATAATGGATGCACGCCCATATGCCTCAGCCGAGATGAAGCCTCCCCCACCCCCGAGCGGATATAGGAAAATGAAAACCCCGCAAAAAACGCAACTTCTCGCGCCCCGTTGACAACTTTAATGGATGCATCAACCCGGTCTTGAACCTCTAATGTTCCTCTAACATCTTGTTGTATTGCTATCGCCTTAAATGATTCTTTACAGTTTTGTAAAACCGAAATAACCTCCGCCTTCGAAATATTCGGGGTTTTTCCCATTTCTTTTTTCCTCTTTTCGCCGGCCCTCTTTTGCGTAATTGCATTTGAATGGCGCGGTGGTGTACTTTTTGCGGAGAGGTCGAGGCATTTTTTTCAGGCTCGCCTTAATTGGACAATGCTAATATTAAACTCTTGGCTTTAAAAGTGACTCTGACCGGCGGATAGGAAAAGAATTTTTGTTTGTAAAGGGACACGAAACACAAAAATCATTTTAACGGTACCGCTATCTCCAAAATTCCATATGCAAATCCCATCAAAAAGTAGTCCTCTATCTCAGCTGTTTCATGCTCCTCCTCATCACGCCCGGTTCGTTCTTCTGATCCTCCTTCTCCGCCTCCTCCTCCTAAGGGCCCCCTCGATTCGATGAATTTTCCGGGGTTTTGGGCCCTTTGAAAAGGGGCCCAGGGCCTTAGGGCCTTTTTGCCTATACACGGGCCTTCTTCTTGGCCACACGTCAATTTGCCCACCCAAAAATCATTTGAGAAGGGGGCAGTGGGATGGCCATCACAACCCAACCACCCCCCACCCACACACAACCACTTGTACGGCTTCACCAATCTATTCCTCGATTTTTGGGATTTTTGTCGGGATATTTTCGGGATTGCCGGCATTTTTTTTTCGATTCTCCGATCTTCCCTTTAAAGGGATACCCAAATATATAGTTATGGATTCCGGGCAGTACAAATGACGCGCGAATTTTGTGCGGCAATGGCGACCCATTGCCGCACAGAATTCGGCCACCTTTCCCTCTTGTAGCGTCCCCATCCCACCCAATGGCTTGCCACTATGGCCTAATGGATAGTGTCCAGGCCTACCAAACGGGGGTCCCGGGTTCGACCCCCGCCCGCGGCATGGTTTTTGCTTTTTGAGCTCCGAAAAGGATGGGCATCCCTTTAAACATTGATGTTCAGTAATTCCATAGCGTAATCAGTTAGACCGTACCACCTTTTTCAATTTTTTGTCAGCCAATTTTAGGCATGTCGACATTTTTTCGTTCCCCCAATCTTTCCTTTTAAACGATTTTCTTCAGTATTTCGATAGCGTAATCAGTTTGACCTTAATTTTTCATTTTTGTCGGCAGATTCTGGGATTTTCAAAATTTTTAAAAGTTTTTGGCAGTTCTCTTTCCCTTGAAAAAATTTCCCGATACACTGTCGATATTTTTTTCAAAGCAGCTTTTGTGGTCATTTTTGGATTTTATCGACATCTTGCGGGATTTCGGGGGATATTTGGTAATGGGTTTGTTTTGCATAATAACAAGATTTTTAGAGCTGGAAATCCCTCTCTCTATCTCTTTCGCTCTCTCTCTCACGCTGTCCATTTTTCTCTCGCTCGCTGGCTCTCCCTCTCTCTCTCTCTCTCTCTCTCTCTCTCTCTCTCTCTCTCTCTCTCTCTCTCTCTCTCTCTCTCTCTCTCTCTCTCTCTCTCTCTCTCTCTCTCTTTCTCTGTTTCTCTTCTGTTTCATTTTTGAAAATAAAACAAAGCAACCCAAATACACCTTATTTAGCTAAAATTAGCCTCTTAATTCCTCGGTTTTCAAGCCGTAATCGATTACGCCACGTATTTCCCGTCTGTTCTTTCTTTAAAATCCTTCTGTCCTCTATACACAATTAAAATTTGTGATTTTTCAGATCCCATCCTCCCCCAGCTAAAACCAAAAAATATGCGTGTCTGTCGGGCCGGTCACTAAAAACCCAAAATTAGCCTAAAACACTACAAATTTGCCTATCGAATTTCGGCGTTTTTAAGAAGGCCTTAATGCTGCGGTGTGCGAGAGAGAACGCTGAAAAGTGAGAGCGGCGAGAGAAGCAGACAGTTGTTTGGCATGAGACGGAAACCGCCCAAATTGGGGGTGGCCTACCTGCTGCTCCTCGCCCTCGTTACCGTACCCGGGCTCCTGGGCAGTGACGGTAAGCGCTTTTGTCATTTTTGTCCCGTACCCCGGATCGACTACCTACCGTAACCCTGGATTACGGTAATATACTGAATTTGCCGTTCCAGTATTCTCCTCCTACCAAGACTATATTAAGCAGCTCGCGTGTAAGTTTGCAACGAAAAGGCTAATTTAAATCCTTGGAATTTGTAAACAAAAATATATTTGTAAAATTTCCAGTTTTGAGAATTAATATTCAATCTATTTTAGTTTCTAAATTTTATTAAGGTATTTCAGAAAAAAAACCCTCGTATTTTTGGTAATTTTTATATTTTCAACTTCAACTAACTGTAACCCTCTTTTGGTCGAAGTGGAAATTCCGTACGTGAGATAGCACATCTTGTGCAGAATTTTTTGCTGATTCCGAATCCGTTTTCAAAAGTTGCGGAACCCCTCAGATTAAAAAGTTACAAGCGTTTTTAATGCCCAAAATGCCACAAATCGCTTACTTTAAAACGTTCTGAAAATTCCGTAAGATACTTTTGGGAGGAAAGTAAGCCATTTTCCGGGGTAAAAAAACGTGCTCTTTCGAATGGGCTATCTCACAAACCCGTAGCTCAAAATTTGCAAAAAGGTTTTTTTTGCGGACCCTTGCCCAAGATCGTCGATTTTCGAAATTTTCGAAATTTTGAGCTACGGGTTTGTGAGATAGCCCATTCGAAAGAGCACGTTTTTTTACCCCGGAAAATGGCTTACTTTCCTCCCAAAAGTATCTTACGGAATTTTCAGAACGTTTTAAAGTAAGCGATTTGTGGCATTTTGGGCATTAAAAACGCTTGTAACTTTTTAATCTGAGGGGTTCCGCAACTTTTGAAAACGGATTCGGAATCAGCAAAAAATTCTGCACAAGATGTGCTATCTCACGTACGGAATTTCCACTTCGACCAAAAGAGGGTTACAGTAAGGCTGCTTTTTCTAATTGTAATTTTTAAATTTTGAAAGGTTATCCGATTACGTGATGTAAATAGGCCTAACCAATTACGCGACTAAATCATATTCACTGAAATAGCAAAAATAACGAGCAGAATCGCAAAAATGATATTTTTTTAGACCCAGCTCGTCTCGTCGTTCGGCCCGACTCGTCTACCGTAGTTACCGGGACTGCAGTCTCGTTTTTTTGCCGATCCGACGGAAATCCGTTACCCACCGTACAATGGAAAATCAACGGGAAGGGACCGCAGGAGAATCGGTATGTGAAATCTTTTGATTTTGCGCCTTTCAACAGTCGTTTGTGGGCATATTTGTCATTTTTGTGTTTTTTAATCAATTCTGTATATGCAACTGCTTTTTCAGATTCGTGATCAAATCGCTGCCCTCCGGCCTCTCGACGCTTCGGATAGAGGCCGTTCAAAATGCCGACAACCAGAGTCTCATCTCCTGCACGGCCGACAACGGGGTCGCGCATCCGGTTTATGCAGAAGCTCTACTTACGGTGTATTTGAATGGTCAGTTTTTTTTGCTATCGCTCGCTTTCTCTCTCTCTCTCTCTCTCTCTCTCTCTCTCTCTCGATCTCCCTCTGTTTTTCTCTGTCTGACTACGTCGCACTCTCTGCCTCTCCCGCTCTCGCTCTCTGCATCTCTATATCTCTCACACTTTCTACCTCTCTGGTTCTCTCTCTCCCTCTCTCTCTCGCACTCTCTCGCACTCTCTCTTTCTCTCTGTCTCTCCCATCCTCTCACATTTTAGAATCCACCCCAGCCGGCTTCCCCTCCATCGATGCCCATCCTTCGCTAAAATCAGTCGAACAGGGCCGTACTGCCCATGTAAATTGCAGAGTCCACGGCACGCCTAGACCCAAGGTATGCGATTACGCTATGAAATTTTTGGGGCCAGCTAGCGTGATTTTCGAGGAATTCTAAGCGTCGTTTTTCAGGTGCTCTGGCTGCGTGATCTGATCCCAGTCGACATCCGGGCCGATCCCCGATATTCCGTTTCGACTATTGGCAACCCAGGTCGGTTTTCCTTACTTTTTTGGCGAGATTGCAAATGGTAATTTGCATTTTTTTTTATTTTTTAAGGTGATTTACTTTAGCTAAAAATTTAAAAGCTGGAAATTCAAAGCACAATTTTTCATGATTTTGAAAACGATACATTGGAATTTAAATTCGACATCGAAAACATTTTTTGAGTTATTTTTCTCAATCAAAATACACATTTAAAAAGGCAACAGGCAAGTGAATTTAATTTTAGCGCCACAGTAATCTGTTAAAAATACAAAATTTATTTTTTGCTAGCTCTTTAAGATTTTAAAACGTCAATTTTTTCAATTTGCATACACAGAGCCACCAGCCCTTTCAGAAAACAACGGGTCCACAGGTAGGTGGGGGTGCCTGGAAACGGGTAACCGGAAAAGCTCCTCTCACACACTGCTAATATTTTTAATTTGAAGTT